TACTGTCCGGATACTGGGCAACATAACTGTAAGGTGACGACTGTTTTAATTTTGAAAAAAGTTTCAGTCATGATCAAAATTTTATGTCACTAATGGCAACAGGACGTAGTAATTTCGAAAGGGGGTTCGAAGCCTGGCCCTGATCACCGTACTGGCGACGCAGGCACAAGCTAGCATGAACATAATGGTACGCACAACGCAAGATACTGTATAAGCATGAGCATAAGAAGCTTATGCGCTGAAGAGGACGGCCGTAGCATAACCATAAGCATAAGAAGAATGCAAGGTTCCTGTTTTTTTAGTTTACGGCTTATACTTATGTCAAGACCGTCCTTACAAGCTCATGCATGCTAACGCTTACGTTTATGGTTTAATACTTCTTCAGTCAGGACCAGGCTGAACCTCCTTTCTTCCCGGCGGGCCTTTCGGCTCGTACCGTCATCACAAAAGAAACAAAGGAACCAAACAATAGAATTCTACTACTTTGTTCATTGGTTGTATAGGTTTTGTTGATGCTGCTGTACGTAATCTGTGCCCACTGCGTCGACACCGAGAGATTTCTCCGCTGACATGTAATTAACTTGTTGCCGACTTTTTCCATATATTCACCATTTTCACATTGCCCATAATGCATTTTGTTTACTCCTTAATAATAAACTGATTTTGCATAACAATTGTGTTCGAGTTAATTCTCTCTGGACGAATGTAAAACCCATCAGAAATTGTTAACAACAATTATGCAAAAATTTGGGGGGTAAACAAGGTGCATTATGGGCAAAAGGAACACGTTGAATAACGAACTGCCGGAAACCGTCGTGTTGCATGACTTTGAATCAACGAAGGACTCAACCAATGAGAGGCAAATAAAGCAACGACTGACGACATCAGCTGATTTGAAAAGTACGCCTAAGAACTAAGTGATTATTGGTATTAACCGTTTATCTTAGTGAATCAGGAGTTTCTATTCAAATAGACTTGATATCCTTCTCTCATTGGTTACACAATGGACTAAGTTTTTTTGTAAGATAAACTGCTGCTAAATAATGTAACTTGACTGAAAGGTAAGTGTAGAAATTTGCTTGATCAGTCTGTTTTCCGGATTTTCTATAACAGGTAAAATATGACCGGAGCATTCCGGTTTCGCTTTAATATTGGCTTTATTACGTTTATGAATAACGTCTTGTGGAATGGTATGATTCGTTCAGACTTTTAACTGAAAATATCGCACTGTATGGGGATTGGCTGTGTTGTCTCTGAGCAACCCTCCTGTAACAGCAGGTCAAGGAGGAGGGCTACAAGAATCTGTTTCTAGACCTACCTGTGATCTATTTTTTGTTAATTTTTTTGGTATAAATGAAGGACTTGGGTTAAGACTATATCAGACTAATCTGATGCAAGAGTTTTTCTTTGAAGTCGGTTTGCAGGATATTTTGTTCCGAAATCACACAGCCCCTCCCCCGCAAAATATCAATGGTCTCCTCTACACTAAAAAATGAGTTCTTACCTGTCAACTTCTCACTTAAAAACACTATTAGCTTCAAAACGTAAAACAACAATTCTTATTCGAAGGCAGCTAGTGAAGACTGCTATGACACATTTTAAAAAACTTATGAGTCAATTCTACCTTGTTAATAAGACTACGAGGCTGCTTTCCTATTCGCAGAGGTCCGCGCTGAAGAAGGGATAGTTGGCCGTTGTAGTGAGGAAAGACAACCTAACAGTGACAAAGAGAAACTGTAAAAAAAAAATGAGTAAAACATTTTATGTCAGGACACAGGGGAGTCATTTCTTTTTTAATTTACAGTTTTATTTCATATGCCTAATAAAATTACAGGGACGCTTTATTGCTAAATGGTATCCACCTATAAACATTTTTGAGTAAAAATATACCTAAACGAAATTGTCTAGTAAAATAAATGGTATCCAATTAAAACATTACAAATTCGGTTACATCACGCAGTTGACTCCTGTAAGACTATAATCCTAGAATAAAGTTACCCGATACTACATGTAAAGAACTAAATCCTTAGCACCTATCCTACACATCCTCGTAGAGGATAACATCTTTCATTTCACTTGTTTTCGTTTTTCTTTTTTACAAAAATCCAAAGATAAATATTGAATTGAATTTGAGAATGATGTTTGAAACATCAGGTAACGTTTTTAAGTTTAATTTTCCTTGCTAAATGCTTCAATAAGCAACTGACTATCGGACCTCTTAGTTACATTTTACTGCAAAATTTTCCTATATCTAGTTCTTTTCCCTCACCCACCATAGACTTATCTTCGAATTCATGATTTAATGGTGAAAATCAGAAAAAAATAAATATTTAGATGTAGAATTTCACATGCGTCGAAGCTAGCTCTAATGATTTGACTTATTAGAAGTACCCACTTGCCACTTAACTCTCGTAATTCCAATAAAGATGGCTGAGTTAAAACGTTTTTACTTTAGAAAATTGCTGACACTAAGTACATTTATGAAAATTATTAACCAGACGGGAAAATCATCGCATAGCAAGATAGCAACCGTTAAAATCTGGCGACAACTTTCGGTGCTAACAGTCAGCTGGTGCACCATACACCAAGTGAAAGCATGTCTCGAGTTACGTCACAAAGAACACAAGAATTGTCCCTAGCCCTTATCAAGAGCCAAATGGCACTTGCTCTTACAAAATACCACAATAAACTTGACACAATAGAACGACACTGCTAGTGCATATATTGACTTGGTATATCGAGCATCGCCCTAATATTCTAAAAGAACCTCTTTCTATGCAAACACCTATGAAGTACCATCTGTGAGCTTTAGCCAAAAAACATATCCTCACACGTTACAATAGAGAGGTTAAGAATCACGTGCACCGAATACAGAAAAAATCAGCTTCAGATTCATGTGGCAATTTTTCAAAATAGGAAAAAGGTAGATTAAAGCTGTCGAAACTATTTCGCTTGAACGTGATTCTAAATCTCTCTAAAAACACTGTTATCTTAACTTTACAAATGAAAAGATCACCGATGCTATGGTTGCACAATGAATCGCCCATTTCGCAGCAAAAAAATTAAGATGAAATGGTTTGGCATTTCATTGGTGTTTGTACAAAAGTAAACACCCTTTGTTGCAAAATATTTCACTCATTTGCTGCCCTCAGTCGTAAAACACTTTGCAACACTCAAAGACAAATTTCCTACCTCCACACAACCATGCAATATGCACAATTTCAGTATTGCTTTCACTTGGTGTTATTTGTTCTTAAGTATTTTACAAATCAAATTTGCGCTTTTTCTTAAATTTTGCCCCAAAGAACCGGTTGGGGTCAACGCTTAATAATGATGAGGCTTTTTTCAACAGGAAGAGGGATGGCGTTTGCCATTTTCAAACCATTTTCCGATTGTTTTTTTATCAAGATGGCGGACGTAACCTTTATACCTCGTACACGTAGAAGACTTGAAAAAGAAGAAATGATCAAATGGTACACAATTTTCCGACTTCCCGTTCCGAACGCGGGAAGTAAGGTACACCGAAATTTTGGAATACAATTTCCGGAAAAGTGCTGTACTATTCCGATAATTCCGGAATTTTAGGCTTAATATTGAGAACTATTGGTTTCATTTATTAAAGAGAATCTGTGTTCAGGCAATGAAAAGGCGATAATGCTAAGACTGCAATCTGAAGAAAGCCGTAAGGTAAGTGATCTGGTTTCAACTATAAAAATGGTAATTTTTTTACTCATGCATGAAGCGTCCCAGGTCAAATTGGAATTTGAAAGTGTTGGTTTTTGAGGACAGGGGAAAACCGGAGTACCCGGAGAAAAACCTCCCGGAGCAAAGAAGAGAATCCAACACCATCCTCGACCCACGTGCGAGGGTCTCAATGGGGTGGCAGCTTTGACGGCTGACGGTTATTTTTTTCCGATTTTGTCAGTTGACGGCTAAATTTTAGGGCTTTTGACCGTTAACGGATTTTAGTTCAAGAGTAAATATTAACTTCTGTTGCTCAACTGTTGCGTTCAGGAGGTTACCTTGGCCTTTCACATAATTATTGTAAAATATCCAAATATTTTAAGACATAGCAAAGTTGTAAGGTCTTGTAATGTTCAGAGAGAGTGTTTTGACAACATTGCCAGTGGTTTTTCAAGTGAAGAGATTCTTCAGGAGCCAAAAGTCCGTGAAGATCAGTTGAAATAGTCAGATTTGCAATACCTTGAAACGTTTTGATGGTTAATATTACTGTGCATTTCTTAGGGTTGACGGTAAAAAATAACCTTTCTCGACGGCTGACGGTTAATCCCATCGAGACACTCACGTACTGCGTCGAAGCCGGGATTTGAACCCGGGTTACACTGGTGGGTGGCTTTTGCTCTCACCACTGCGACATCCTTGCTTCCCAACTAATGCAAGTCAGTACGAAGAATACACAATTCCAGCAAAACGGAAATGAAAAGAAAGTCAGCCATATTGCATCATTGAATGAAACAGAGTCAACGTCCAGATAAGATTTACCATAAAACGTCGCCAAGTAACACTAAATACTGTCCTTCAAGCAAAATAATAGAGATTATAACAGTCACTCAGCGAACCATTTGTAGTCTGTTTAGATGGAAGATAATGGCCTCTTAATTACTGGTCGGTAAGTCCAGTCAACATGTCGAAACACAATAACCGTCATGACTGTTTGGGCTAATAAGCAAGAACAACAAATGAGAAAAGGATAAAAAAAGGACAAGCTCAATAAGAACTTGATTGATTATTTACTTTGCTAATCTACGATGGTAATCAGCTACGATCGTACATGATGGGACAAATACAAATACCAATTTGAGACAAATACCACATTAATTATTTCATTCGGAATTTAGATAACTATTAAGTTAACACTCCACTGCCATGCTGCAAAACAAGATAACGTTCGTGTTTTCTTAGACTGGGCTACAAGTCCTGGAAAATCACAGGGCATGCGCATTTTGGACATTGAACATCTCTATAGCGTTGAGTTAAAATCAATCAGCGTCGTCATAATCCACACAGTCGTCAGATTCATCAGAATCAAGTAAATCTTCTGGCGTTAACAAGAACTGTTCTTCCAAATCCGGACTCCTGAAACCTCCATGTTGATCATCCTCAAGCCGAGAAGCTTGAACGTTAGATGTTGAAGGAATCTGCCCAACCGGAAGAAGACTTGTCTCTGCTGTACTTATTCTGCCTTTTCTTTGAGCTGTAAAAAAATCCGCGGGGAGAGCACACTTCAGATTGCAGAAATTTAAGACGCATACCCTGCTAGGGGATATAAAACAAACAGCCCGGTCCTCATCAGGTGACACAGCCATGCACAGGATCTTCTCCCGCCCTTTTGCAATTCTCGCAAATCCAAGAGCTTTAGACTCAGAAATATCCCACAGGAAAACCATTCCATCAACAGCATAGGAAATGAGATAACGGTTCCTTTTCAAAAACTTGCAAAACTCAATTTTACCAAGATGGCCACGGAGAACCCGCTTAGAGGAGTGGATATCAGCAACGTGAAGACTGTGTACAAAGATTACGTTTGCGAGGCAACACACTAACAGCTCCGAGTCTTGAGAAACAGCGCAATGACTGAATTTCACTGGGTTGAAAGATCTCTCCACACAAATTCTCTTAAGTAAGTGGCGCGGATACAAGCTGAACTCCCAGATCTCAATCTCATACTCGCCGCCGCACAAGATGAGGTTTCTGTTATCCGAGGAAAGGCAAAAACTGTCGATGGAGAGCACTGACCATGGCGAAGAAAATGATTTTGACAAAACTTCCCCTTGAACATCCCACACATAGAAATGCTGGCCACTGAAGTTATCCTGGATACTAAAGAGAAGAAAGACGCCGTCTGATGAGAATGTCAGGCACAAATCTGTAAAACTAAAGTCTGCTTCAAATACTATACACTGAGACGTCTCAAACTCCTCAACAAGGCATTGTTTTATTTGAGTGTGTTGCTGAAAAGCAAGTAATTTTCCATCTGTGGAGAAAACACAATTCTGTATCTTGATCACCTGAGAGCGAGATCCCACCGAGCTTGATTCGGAAAATGTTTCTAAGGAGAAGCCAAGATTGTGTTCTACCAGTCGCCACGACGTAATCAGTGATTCCGAACTAATAGACTTCACAGTATCACTTGAAGAGAATATCGCAGCAGTCGTCTCTCCTAACTTTCCATCTTGTCCAGGTTCGACAGAAAAAAAATTGCTAGGGTTAAGTAAACTAGAGAAAAAGATGGTTCTCTCTTCAGTTCCGTTGCGGAACAAATAACCAACTCGCCTCTCTCCTGTAAAATAACAACAGTTACGCCCGGACACACTAGTGAAAACAGTACCTGTCTGGAGAGATAAGGCATGTAGTAAGTTTTCATGAGACAAATACACAACATAGAGATCATCATAGGTAAAGGTCAGGTACTTTACTTGGGTGAATCTGTATTCTTGCTTTTCAGAAGTGTAATGGCAAGAATCTTGTTCTTGAAAACCTGTTCGCAGCAAATGTATTTCTCCCATCTCCCTGCTACTAACCATCCACATTTTTCTGGGTGACAAACAATGAGAAATATTATCGCCGACAAAATCAAGAAAACCTTTTGGAAAGTTAAGAAAAACATCACGCTTGAATGAATCACAGAAGAGTTCAAGGTCAAGCTGCAACGTCCACTTCCAAATTAGCTGCCACAAGCCAGGACGTAGCCAGTCCAATAGCAGCCTTACACCCTTCTTCAGTGTCCCATCTACTTTTTCCCGGAGCATCCACGACCTCTTACAATGAAAGGACCTCAAATGCACCCAGACCTCCCACAGACTCTCCTTTGACATCTGTTCCCACTCCACCTCCCCATGTAAGTCCTCCATAAGCTTCCAGACCTCCTCCAGCCTCCTCTCTACCATTTCACTCCGTTCCCACTCCTCCACCCCACGCAAGGCGTCCTTAAGCTTCCTATCCTCCTCTAGAATCCTCTCTGCCCCATACAAGACCTTCATAAGCTCCCAGACCTCAGTCAGCTTCTTCTTTACCATTTCACTCCGTTCCCACACCTCCTCCCCATGCAAGTCGTCCTTAAGCTTCCAGTCCTCCTCTAGCCTCCTCTCTGCCCCATACAAGACCTTTATAAGCTCCCAGACCTCCTCCAGCCTCCTCTCTACCATTTCACTCCGTTCCCACTCCTCCACCCCATGCAAGTCTTTCTTAAGCTTCAAGTCCTCCTCTAGAATCCTCTCTGCCCCATACAAGACCTTCATAAGCTCCCAGACCTCGTTCAGCCTCTTCCTTACCATTTCCCTCCGTTCCCACACCTCCTCTCCATGCAAGTCGAACATTAGGTTCCAGACCTCATCCAGCCCCCTGTCTACCATTTCATGCAGTTCCCGCCGCTTCTCCTCCCCATGCAAGTCAAACCTCCATACAATCGCTAGGCTCCTCCTTACCATTTCAGTCAACTTCTCCTCCTCCCCCGAATCTTTCTGCTTTAGCATCTCCTCATGCGTCTCCTTAAACACCCACTCCCGCATAGCTGTGCACTTTGAACTACACTCCAGCACCGGAAATAGGAAAAAATACTTACAACTTCGTTTCTTCTCCAGCATCCACTCCTCCAAACACTCTATCAACCACTCCATCTCCCTCTCACTCAACCGCACGTATGTCCTCTTAGACCAATCAACCCTTAGTCTGAAGAAAGTGTCAATAGCAGTAACCACGGCAATATTACACACTGACACCACTTGATCAACACCAGCACAACCTATTTCTTTCCCCCACTTGTCAAAAGCACTGGTCACGTGACAAAAATAGGTAAATGGATTTAATTGAGCACATTGATTAAATACATCCTGTAGCAGGGGCCTTCCAGTCTCTAGGTTCCAAACCTGATATCGGAATATCCAACGGTACAGTTTGATGACAAGTTGGCGCACAGGCGCCAGAGAGGATTCCTTGCTTGGATCTGTTAGTTCTTTTAACTGGTCACAAAAGTAACAAGAACGATAACTTGATCCGTGCATTGCATTGACTTTACAAGACATTAAGTTTATACCCAGACGTCTGAGCAAGGAATTAGTTTCAATGCCCATGGTATTGAACCCGGCTACCATCTGTGGTAATTGACGAAAAGAGCAAGTCCATTCTTTGTCTGGGCCACCGTCAATCTCCTTTACAGCCCAAAGAGAGAGTAGGTCTTCTATACACCTTTTCGTTTGACATGTCTCTGGTAGATCTGAAAAATGGTTCCTTTTCACGACTATGTGCTGCCCATCAGAAGTAAAACGACCCCAGTCATGAAGACCAGGGTTTTCAGAGAACTGTGGAAAGTCCTCGACACAACCTCGTCCAACAGAAAACCATTTGTCAAGTCGTCCAAAAAATACAAACTTGTCGTCTGGTGAAAACTCTAAACAGTTTATTTCTTTTATCATATCTCCGCTCACTTCAAAAGGTCCGCCCAATGCTTCTAGTGTGGAAGCATCAAAGAAAAAGAGGGAACGACCCTTTGCGCCGGCCAAAGTTTTGTTATCAGAAGTAGTGGCGACGCAATTACATTGAGAAAGAGTTTTCGCAGACAAAATGTTACAAATATTCCACTCTAAACACGGTGCTGATACTTGTGGGATCGAAAAAATCTCGCCGACACCATCTAAGGTGTTGCGGAAGCATGATCGCAAAAGGTGAGGGCATTCTACGAGAACATGAAAATAGCTTTCAAGAGCTGAGGAGATTTCTTGAAGAACCTTTCGTTCCTGTGCTTCCTCGGCGGGAAGACAGTTGGATGCAAGCTTTAAATCTTCAATAACATGGTAGATCTCACTTCTCCCACTATGAATCCTTTTCTCTAGGAACCGATAATTTACTAACCAATTAAAAACATCTGTCAGTGAATTTTGGTCAATATGATGACACAGAAAGCGAACAGCAAAGTGCATGACAAATCTTTCCAAATCCTCATCTCTAAGCGGCAGTGTTGCTCGTTTTTCTTCGACAACAGTTGAAAGAATTTCGATAAACACAATTCTGAGATATTCAACTGCGACCTTTTTATCAATTAACAACCTTCGTGGAGCTTTCCTCTTGTCTGTTAGCCACACTGGAATCAGATTATGAAGAAATGTCACTAACCCATCAGAAGTTCGCACAACAAATAGAGACACGGCATCGATAGCATCCTGCTCATCAAGATCTGACTTTTCCCTGTTAAGAACATATGAAACAAACGATATAGGAAGGGGAGATGGAGCGGATATGATGCAGCCAAATACCTTCCTGTAGAGGTCTGCTCCCACCTTGTCAAACACACGCTGGAAATTCTCCTCAAAGAATTCGTCAATATCTCCGGGAAAGAGGTCAGTCTGCTGATTCACCCGGTGAGAATTGGATTCTTTTAGAACTTCTGCAATGTAGTAAGCATACAAAAACAATCCATTGCACTTCTTTGTGACTTGCTCAACAGAGTAAGAAATGTAGGAGAAATCTATTTCCTTTTTTAAAAAAAGTTTTATGTCTTGTTCGTGCTGCTGATAAAAACCTTGTTCATCGCTACCACCTGCGCAAATCCGGATGCATGGATTGTACTTCTCCAATCGGCTCTGTACCGTGTCTTCAGGACGACTGGTGATAAAGAACAACAGCCACTGAGGAAGTCGAGGAAGAGCTTTCTTTATAACATAAAGAAAATCTTCCCTGGACTCGTAATCTGTTTCATCCAAAGCGTCAATGATGACTAATTTGCGCTGCTGGCAAGGGGCGCACTTACCTAACGGCTCTTCTAACAGTTTCGTAAAAAGTTCCTTAACTCCTAACTTAGAATCAGCTAACATCATTTTTACACCATCCTCCCCTCCCACTAAGGTAGAAATTTCACTATTGCAGTCACAGAGCTGACGCGCAATAGTCCCGACAAGGTACCTGGGATTATTTCTAGTTCCATCGTTATAACGGCAAAAGTAAGCAGCACCTAAATGTCCTTTGTTTCTTGCCCGCTGTGCCAGAGCTCCCGCCATCACACTCTTTCCGATACCTGCGTCACCAAGGAGAACATACGCTCTGGAATCGCCAGGATCACTGAACCATTTGTCAAAATCCTTAAACAGCCATTGTCTTGTATCTTCATCATGACGCGCGGCAAAAAATGTGATGTCTGCTTCACAGTAGGCAAACTCTGCAGAAAAACAACGACAACTCATTTTAATATCTTTTAAACCATACGAAGAGAAGTTTACTTTTGCTGTCAGAAGTCTCCTGCAATACGATAGTGTATTTTGATCATTCAGAGAGTGGTTATGTGTGTCTACCCCTTTTCTACGCAAAGACACGACACAACAGGTAGGGCTGGGAGAGTTCTTGTGATTATGTTGTTCACTAAGCAGTATAACGTGGAATGAGGTCAATAATCAGGGGCACCCAACGACTGTTTTCTCAGTGTAAAATATCTGTTCGGAGCGTAGACGCAAACATTGCGTAGAATTTTCTATAGTTGAGGACGGCTAAAATTTTCTAGATCACCTTTCCATTCATGTACACTTTTTGAAGCGTATCTAGTAAATTCCCTACGATTCTCTTAAGTTTGATTTTTCGCATTTCACTCCCCAGGTTAGGCTATTTTTGTAGAAAAAAGAAAACCTATAATTTTCGGATTCATAAATGTGATGGAGAGAGGAATTAGAAAAAGAGTTCACTTTCGTAATACGTTATATTGCATCTAAAATTTTGGGTAAAATAATACTGAAGCCCTTGTAATTTCTAAAACACTCAAGCTCCCCTTGGATGACCGAACAGTTACAAATTTTATAGCAACGTTCAGAATGTATTAATTTTTAAAGATCTAAAAGTACTCTAAAGAGACTAAAAGCCCGTGTTTTTTTACCGAGAAATTGCAGCTATGCACAACGTAACCTTCAGTAGCTAGGTAATGAAGACTGGCCAGGGCTTGCACGTTTAAATTCAAATGAGCATTAGCGAGGAGAACAAACCCTGAGGCGTTTCATCTTTGGGTCTGTTCCAGCGAATTTCTCACATGGAGAGGAGTGGATATTTCAATAACGGTAAGGGATTAATTGCACTTTTCATTACCACGACTGATGTGAGATGCAGACTGAGACCTCTGTAGTCCAGCTTCCAATGGCATTACTTCTTGCCCCGCTTGACAGTGGTCTAGTTTCAGACGTGTTACATTTTCTTTTAAAACAGACTCTGCGCCTGCAACCAGTTGCTGTAGATCTGTCTTAGCTTCAGAGGTACCTAAAGGGAAAAAAGAATGTCAACAAAAACTATTGTATGGCTTCCGGTCAAGAAGTAAAGAAATAACTTTTCAATTAGGTTATCACACCTCCATAAAAGCACGATACATTAAATGAAATGCAACAGTTTCCTGCAAAGCTAAGGATGGCTTTACCATCAATGACACCCAAAACTTGTACAAAACAAATGACCTCGTTCTTCACGAGTCTTTTAGAATCTCGTTTAATTCTTAGACTTGTAAGTGTTGAGAATAACATTTTTTTAATATTTGTTTTGAGGCTCTCATTCACAGTACTTCAAGCCAACTTTTCTTTTAAATCAATTTGTAAATGCTTAAGTGTATATGCAACAAAATTGAAACGCCATACCATGAACCATGCTGATCATCTCGTCGAGAAGATCTTCGCTCTGTTTTGCCCAGTTGAATTTCCCTCCATAAGAAGTACGCAAGTTCTCAGCCTCCTCAAGGCGTTTCTGCCTGTCTTTATTCAAGACGTCTTTGATGGCTGCAGCCCAATCATCAGGTTTCTCTGAGTCTATCACAAATGATGAGCCAAATGGCACGTTGTACAGGGCTTCCCCAAACCCTGAGTTTTTGCTGACAAGCACAGGGAGACCAGCTGACAAGGCTTCTAGTCCTGTCAACCCAAAGCCCTCAGTTCTTGACGGCATAAGTACAAGGTCAACCTCTTGGAATAAGCATTTCAAATCCTCTCGGCTTTGCACAAAGCCTCTTACCCTCAAGGATCTTTTGGGAACACCGTGACATTCACTCAACTTCTTTGCAATTTCCTCGTACTTTCCATCTCGGGCCCCAGCAAACACGAGAAGAGTGTCGGGCAGTTTAGCAATAGCTTTTCCAGCGATGTCAAATCCCTTTAATTCAAAGTCTTCATCATCACCACGGCCAAATATCAAGACGCTTCGATGTTTTCCCTCATTAGGACTTTGTTTTACACCCACAAACTCATCAAACACTCCTGGGGTAAAGTCAATGACAGTTTTACCTTCTCCACGGAGATATGAACGGAAGGCTTCGCTCAGCTTNAATTGAAACGCCATACCATGAACCATGCTGATCATCTCGTCGAGAAGATCTTCGCTCTGTTTTGCCCAGTTGAATTTCCCTCCATAAGAAGTACGCAAGTTCTCAGCCTCCTCAAGGCGTTTCTGCCTGTCTTTATTCAAGACGTCTTTGATGGCTGCAGCCCAATCATCAGGTTTCTCTGAGTCTATCACAAATGATGAGCCAAATGGCACGTTGTATAGGGCTTCCCCAAACCCTGAGTTTTTGCTGACAAGCACAGGGAGACCAGCTGACAAGGCTTCTAGTCCTGTCAACCCAAAGCCCTCAGTTCTTGACGGCATAAGTACAAGGTCAACCTCTTGGAATAAGCATTTCAAATCCTCTCGGCTTTGCACAAAGCCTCTTACCCTCAAGGATCTTTTGGGAACACCGTGACATTCACTCAACTTCTTTGCAATTTCCTCGTACTTTCCATCTCGGGCCCCAGCAAACACGAGAAGAGTGTCGGGCAGTTTAGCAATAGCTTTTCCAGCGATGTCAAATCCCTTTAATTCAAAGTCTTCATCATCACCACGGCCAAATATCAAGACGCTTCGATGTTTTCCCTCATTAGGACTTTGTTTTACACCCACAAACTCATCAAACACTCCTGGGGTAAAGTCAATGACAGTTTTACCTTCTCCACGGAGATATGAACGGAAGGCTTCGCTCAGCTTGGGTCCAACTCCTGCAACAAGATCTGCCATTTTACAGAGTTTCACTTCCGTCTTGTGCTTTTCTTCGCCCTTTGAAATTGGCTTGTCATACGTTTTAAACATTCCTAGTTCCTCTGGGTCTGTGTGGACCATTTGCACCCACTGACAGTTTTTAAATTTCCTAATAACTTGTGCCTGATGACCGAGTTTTATCCCATGGCCGACAACTACATCAATTTGCAAATCGTCTGGTGGAAAGCTTAGCCAGTCCAGTTCTTCATACCCAGGATGCGGTATTGCTTCAAGAAGCTTTACATTGTGAGTGAGAGCTTGATTCCTTTCCCCTTCACTGCATCTTGGCAAAAAGAAAGTGATTTCTACCTCTGGGAATTTAGCCCATTGTATGGCAAGCTCTCTGTTTAAGGTAGAAAGTCCTCCTTTACTTGATCCCCATTCCGAGGCTAAAATGGTGACTTTTACTTTTCCGGGGATATCAGGTTGGTGATGCTCCTGAAACGGTAGTGATGTGGAAGCCATGGCCTTACATTTAGTGGATTTCAGAGAGGATAGGCCAATTCCTAAAAACGAATGATACACATCGTTGTGATTATAATTGACATGATAACTTAATAAAGATACCACGACAGGGCTTGAAAAATTCGGCATTTACAAATTCTTTGGGCAAGGAGCTCTCACATTTTTTTCTTACCTGGGGCCACTTCTTGCTTCTTTAGTTAACGATTTTGTCAGGGAATGACTCTCTTGGACCCTTGCCCATGCATTGTGCAGGTAAGTTTACAAGGTAATCGTCCAGGAACAAAATCTTCTTGTCCCGGACTAAATACTGGATGGCACTTTTTTCGAGCCCAGTATGCAGCTTTTAGCAGAATTTAATTTCACTGGTTCCAGCTATTATGCAACTTCATACTTTTGAAGGGCTTAACTAAATCAAAGAGGTTGTAATTATATGTTGAGTCTCCTTGATCTCCTTTGCACCTGCACTGCTGTTTGTACAGTGTCATTAATTATAGCATACTACATGCCAGGAAGTAAATTTCAAACAGTACATGTATATGGTATAACTTTGCATAATTCTTATTGTAGACAAACTCGACATTTCCCTTGGGCACTGCGGGCAAATATTTCAAAGCAAGTTGGGTAAACAAAAGATGTCCCACAAGAGGGTTAAACTATATTAGTAAAATCCAACTAGTGGTCTATTATCAATGCTGCGTTCTGGTTAGTTGAGCTACTACTAGGTTATATGTTACAGCCTGCTAGTAGCAAAAAGCGTGGGCTTTTTGGCGGCAAAAAAGGATTAAAGTATAGCTTAAACTACAATCATCGTCAAAAGTGTTGGGAAGGTTGCCTTTTTTACCTCTTCTTTTTCTTCCTCCCCCCACCCCTGGCCCAATGTTGATCAAAACGTTAATGTTTGTGCGCGCAATTGTTCTGTTATATCCCAACATTGAATAGGGGGGACGGGGGATATTTAGCAAAAGAGAAAACTCTGTTTTTTCAGGATTAAAATGGACTACTGTTAAGTTGTACAACCTTCCCAACTAATTTTGTCTGTGATTGTCTGAAAATTCTGGGTGTGGCAGTAAAAGGTCAAAAATCGACGACTTTTTGTCAGTAGAAACGTCTTCAAAAAACACTCGTAAACAGTACTCTGTTGAAAAAAGATATTTGCCGTACCTTGTTAAGACAATTTTTGGCGCAGACGCCTGTTTATATTCGGCATGTTTTGCAACCCGGTAAGTACAACTATTGCTCTTTCCGGGGCACAGGAAGAGCCAAAATACAAATGCAAGATTATTTTCGGTGAAAGCTATTGACTATAGCATAGGCTGATATGTTTTAAATGTTAAAGCAAGATATAGTGCGTTCACCAGTTCCCCAAAAAATCATTCGGATCGCTACATTGCAGCTGACATATTCCTTAGCAGCTCCCCATTCTTTACAACATTCAGCACATGTCCATTTGCCACGCGAGCAAACTATGAGGCTGAGTGGAAATTTGCTGAATTCTAGAGGCTACTTTCTCTGGCTGAATAACTCTAGTTAAGCCCTTGTGGCACCGCTTTTCGAAACTGGTTTCAGAAAACGAGAACAAAGTACGCTCTTGATTTAGATTAAGGCGTCTATTGTCTTCGTTAACCTAATTAAAAAGGATAACACACGCAAAGTCATCACACACCACATTACTCCATTTTCGTAGCCGAAAATAATTCCTTTATAGTAGCGCTAACGACAAAATAGCCTAATTGACTTGTTCGGGGCTTTGCAAGGACTTAACCAAACGAATTTTAATAGACATTTTAGCTTAATTCTAAGTAAAATACGACATTACTCCATGGGTAGCGTTAAAATTAAACTAACTTTGCTAATTGACCTTTATAGGGCACTGTTTAAATGGAGTAATGTTGGGAAACAGTTGTTAAATTTATCCCCGTAGATAAATGCGACAAAAGCTGTCCATATTCTTACATGGTTTACATGTTTTTGCCCTTTTCTTGTTTGAAAGTTGGTTCATTGAGCATATATTTCGCATTTTCTTATGGAGTAATGTGGTGGAGGAATGTGGAAACCCATGTTGTTTACTGTTCTCAAATTATCTGAATGATTGACAGGCGACGGTAGCACAGCAATTTCTATATGAACTCTGAACATGGCTGAATAAACTCTTTTATAGAGGTTCCGTATTACCTTCAGGCCTTACGAAAATAAAGTCTAGAAGATTTTAATTCAGCACTTATCTCACTCCTCCCTCGCAACTACAAACATCATGTTTTTCTAGGATAGTTTAACACCGCCGGAATGAAAAAAAAAAATTTATTGTGGCAGCCTTTATGCCATTTCTATTTGTAACATCTTTCAAAACATTTGGCTGATAGGAAACAGCAAAAGTTAACCAGGAATAATACCGCTGATGAAAAAGATGCATGTATACATGACAACGACTGCAATCGTATAGTATTTTTTTACTTAAAAATACCCTCATGACTTTTCGCTAAATCTGGTGAAACAGACAACCTGTGGCCATTCCTTCTACATAGTCCACGCGAAGGAAACGTCCTCTTGCTTCATGAGGAAAATTAAAGGCCTTAAATGTTTTCTTCTGGCGTTCTTAGAAGAAAGCGATTTCACCCAGTGGATTTTGTGGTCACGCTATGAAATGTCACGCGCGTCAGATGCAAAATTCTCCTACATGTATTTATGATTTTACCGAAATATAACCTTTATTATATTTTTTATATAGTTTGGAAAGTGCATTATCAGTACAGTTCCAGGGCGAGATATCTCAACCAAATGTTAAATGCGACAAGTTTTATAAGCGTTTAAAGTTGATTTCCTATTCTCTTACAATCATCGTCAAAAGTGTTGGGAAGGTTGCCTTTTTTACCTCTTCTTTTTCTTCCTCCCCCCACCCCTGGCCCAATGTTGATCAAAACGTTAATGTTTGTGCGCGCAATTGTTCTGTTATATCCCAACATTGAATAGGGGGGACGGGGGATATTTAGCAAAAGAGAAAACTCTGTTTTTTCAGGATTAAAATGGACTACTGTTAAGTTGTACAACCTTCCCAACTAATTTTGTCTGTGATTGTAGGAAAATTCTGGGTGTGGCAGTAAAAGGTCAAAAATCGACGACTTTTTGTCAGTAGAAACGTCTTCAAAAAACACTCGTAAACAGTACTCTGTTGAAAAAAGATATTTGCCGTACCTTGTTAAGACAATTTTTGGCGCAGACGCCTGTTTATATTCGGCATGTTTTGCAACCCGGTAAGTACAACTATTGCTCTTTCCGGGGCACAGGAAGAGCCAAAATACAAATGCAAGATTATTTTCGGTGAAAGCTATTGACTATAGCATAGGCTGATATGTTTTAAATGTTAAAGCAAGATATAGTGCGTTCACCAGTTCCCCAAAAAATCATTCGGATCGCTACATTGCAGCTGACATATTCCTTAGCAGCTCCCCATTCTTTACAACATTCAGCACATGTCCATTTGCCACGCGAGCAAACTATGAGGCTGAGTGGAAATTTGCTGAATTCTAGAGGCTACTTTCTCTGGCTGAATAACTCTAGTTAAGCCCTTGTGGCACCGCTTTTCGAAACTGGTTTCAGAAAACGAGAACAAAGTACGCTCTTGATTTAGATTAAGGCGTCTATTGTCTTCGTTAACCTAATTAAAAAGGATAACACACGCAAAGTCATCACACACCACATTACTCCATTTTCGTAGCCGAAAATAATTCCTTTATAGTAGCGCTAACGACAAAATAGCCTAATTGACTTGTTCGGGGCTTTGCAAGGACTTAACCAAACGAATTTTAATAGACATTTTAGCTTAATTCTAAGTAAAATACGACATTACTCCATGGGTAGCGTTAAAATTAAACTAACTTTGCTAATTGACCTTTATAGGGCACTGTTTAAATGGAGTAATGTTGGGAAACAGTTGTTAAATTTATCCCCGTAGATAAATGCGACAAAAGCTGTCCATATTCTTACATGGTTTACATGTTTTTGCCCTTTTCTTGTTTGAAAGTTGGTTCATTGAGCATATATTTCGCATTTTCTTATGGAGTAATGTGGTGGAGGAATGTGGAAACCCATGTTGTTTACTGTTCTCAAATTATCTGAATGATTGACAGGCGACGGTAGCACAGCAATTTCTATATGAACTCTGAACATGGCTGAATAAACTCTTTTATAGAGGTTCCGTATTACCTTCAGGCCTTACGAAAATAAAGTCTAGAAGATTTTAATTCAGCACTTATCTCACTCCTCCCTCGCAACTACAAACATCATGTTTTTCTAGGATAGTTTAACACCGCCGGAATGAAAAAAAAAAATTTATTGTGGCAGCCTTTATGCCATTTCTATTTGTAACATCTTTCAAAACATTTGGCTGATAGGAAACAGCAAAAGTTAACCAGGAATAATACCGCTGATGAAAAAGATGCATGTATACATGACAACGACTGCAATCGTATAGTATTTTTTTACTTAAAAATACCCTCATGACTTTTCGCTAAATCTGGTGAAACAGACAACCTGTGGCCATTCCTTCTACATAGTCCACGCGAAGGAAACGTCCTCTTGCTTCATGAGGAAAATTAAAGGCCTTAAATGTTTTCTTCTGGCGTTCTTAGAAGAAAGCGATTTCACCCAGTGGATTTTGTGGTCACGCTATGAAATGTCACGCGCGTCAGATGCAAAATTCTCCTACATGTATTTATGATTTTACCGAAATATAACCTTTATTATATTTTTTATATAGTTTGGAAAGTGCATTATCAGTACAGTTCCAGGGCGAGATATCTCAACCAAATGTTAAATGCGACAAGTTTTATAAGCGTTTAAAGTTGATTTCCTATTCTCTTACAATCATCGTCAAAAGTGTTGGGAAGGTTGCCTTTTTTACCTCTTCTTTTTCTTCCTCCCCCCACCCCTGGCCCAATGTTGATCAAAACGTTAATGTTTGTGCGCGCAATTGTTCTGTTATATCCCAACATTGAATAGGGGGGACGGGGGATATTTAGCAAAAGAGAAAACTCTGTTTTTTC